AACAAAGATTTATTATAAACATATAAATTTATATACTAATTTTTTCGAAGCTTACCAAATTTTATAATAAGAAAGACTTAAAGTATGCTAAACTATTGTACATGTCTAGAATTAATGGAGAAATCACTGAATGAACTGAATGTAAAATAATTGTAATATGAGAATTCATCGAACTGTTATATCATTATAATTCAGAACTTAAAAACATCTCACATTTGTGCACATAATTCTATATTCATCAACTGTTTACAAATAATTCAAATTTCAATCAATATCTAAATATTTTTAAGGTAATACATTACCATTTTCTTAATATATGTTAATTCTCAATCTTCTGAGCTCCTTCAACATATAGAAAATTCAATACTAATTTCAAATTAGTTATTAATAAGTAAATATTTTTACATAGTCAAATATATGTTAATTGTCAGTCTTATATGATATGAATACAATGATTAATTTAAAATGTTTGGTACATCCACAATTTGATTAATAATATGTAGTCAATGCCTGTGTTTTTGTACTTCGTAATTTTCAGCATAGTACATAATTTAAGAGTATATACATAATTACAAAATGACACTATACACGCAATGTTAGTAGAATAATATTGCTTTTGAAATTAAGCCAAACAATATCATAAAGCAGATAAATTTTAAATCACCACACTGTAATAGTATTTAATAACTATAATTTATGTGTCATCAAAATATAGTATATGATATACTTATTTATAAATATATATGACATAATATTTAAAAATATGTTTGCATTTAACAATTGTATTATACAATGTAACAAATGACACCAAAAGAACCATTTTTAATACAAAACATCTTAGTAATTATTTATTTATCAAAAATATTAGTTTGTTTAGTTTACCACAAGTGATGCTAGAATTTGTATAAATATTCTGGTATATCCAATAAGTATTTAATAATCATTTTGATTACAAAACGATGTGACTTTTTAAGATCAATGTATGTACTACAAATACATTTTTCAGTACACAGTCATCTTTACATATGTTACGTTTTTGCAATTAATTACAATAAGTAGTAAATAATATAATTATACAATTAATGATAATACAGAATACAGAATAATTTATTCAATATAATTCCAAAGATAATTTGATAAAAATTACATTATAACTTTTTTTTACTACCTTATGTATGTGATTTATTTCTTTAAAGACAGTGCAATGTATAAGCAATGTTACTTGTATTCTATGTAGTATTGCGTGATAGTGTCGATTTTTGACTTCCATTAATAAGAACACAATTATATTAGAATATAATAATACTAGCACAGTACATTTCAGCCTGTACTTTTATAAAAACATGATTAAAAATTATAAATATTGGAACATAATTTTTACGTCCATTATAAAAGTAATTTACATTTCAGTGTTAATACTGTAAATTCAATCAGATTTCGTGTATGCTTTTGAAAACTTTTTACCCGCTACACTGGAAATGCTGGAATCAAGTTTTACTTTTTTAAATTTTGTTTCTGAACATAATATAACACATTAATTTATAAAAACAATTTATTTTAATTATTGATAGAACAAAATTCTTTAAAAATTTATAGCATATTGTAATATATAACTGTAAAGTGTTTTCAAAATTTTATAAATATTTCATCATTGAATACTTTTCAGTATATTTTTAAATTGTTATAATTTTTATCTAAAAGTGTGTCGCGTATAATATATAACATAATAAACTTATAAACTCTATTCATACTTATTTAAAAATATTTAATCACTATCATTTTCTACTTCAGCCATAAATATGTTGCAGACTAGAATATATTACATTTTCATTATTTACTTAATTATTAATGATTCCTCATTATCATATACCCATATTAATACTCAAAAATTTATTGAAAGTACAAATATGTAGCAACACGGCCCTGATTGAATATTGGAAACAAGAGTTGTAAGGACATAATAAAGGAGAGAATGTGTCTAGTAGAATATATAAAAGTTTGAATGCTCTGTCAGTTTGCACTTAAATACCCTTTTATTTACATACTTATCTTAAAATAATGTGTAATTTACTTTTTATTGAAAATGCAATGATTGTATATGGGCTGCATTTGAGTCATGATTGAATGTAAGAATTTATTAACTAACATAAAATAAATTAAAAATATTCAAAAAGTAAAATAATTACACACTTATTACTATACAAAACAAAACTATAAAATTTCTTTAGTTCTACATAAGAATTGACACAGGAGTTTTTATAACGATTATAATAATTAGGTAACAATGAACTATGATAAAATATATTTGCATATGAAGTTATATTACTTTGTATATAATGTCATTTTTCTGATTTGCTGTTACAATTTCCATTTTCACTGGACAGTGCAACCAACAGCTTAATATGTATTCAGTATATCCAATTAAAAAATAGACTTTTACTGGTGGTACCTTACGCAATACAATACCAGCTATTCTAATCAAATTATGTTGACGCTTAATAATTATCTCACTGCCAAATAATGCATGCCAAGTTCCCTTTATAAAATTTCGTATAAACACATCCTCTACAGCAGTCTCTGATGATCTGTTACCATCTTTTATGTTTGCTAAGAAGAATAGTATTTTTAAGAATAAGTATATATTTAAAATGTACTTAGGTGTAAACAAATGAATACAAATGCAACTTAAAAAGTATGAAATTAAAACAAATTCTCACTTTTAAACACAATTATTATTTTATATGTATTACTATTAAAAAATATTTTCATCTATAAAATACAAAATTTCAATTATTTTAGAATATACGTACAAGTATTCCAAGAATTCCAGGATTTTCTAACCGCAATGTGATGTGGAGGATTTGCCATTTCATATGTTAATGGTTGTAAAATCCTTGGTTTTGGTCTATAACGTGCAGCTTGTGTTTTATTAAGTACTGTGCTAACATGTAAATACCTTTTGGCAACAACATCGTGATTAATTAATATCTGTAAATAAATTTTGATTTTTAATTTAAATCAGAAATATGGTTATGTTACACGTATATTTCATGTAATATTTATATATGTATGTACAGAACGTATATGTGACATCATCATTATTTTCCAATTCTAATGTAAAAGTAAAGTTGAAATATCAAAAATGTAATAACTTTAACCACGTCAAAGAAAGAATTTCAACAATACTTGAATTCAAAGCAGTAATACCAGACTCTTAAAATAAAATTACATTTCACTTTCAAATTTCATGAATTCAAAGAACGAAAATTTGTATGATATATTTTATTTTGGGAATGAAATTTATTTCTTTGTTGAATATTTGAATATTTAATAAATTAACTAAAAAAAATTTTGATGCAAGGTTTTTGCCAATGTAAAAAGAAACTATCCTTGTAGTTATATTATGAAAGTAACTATGATAATATAACGTGAATTAGTTATAATTGAAAATTCTTTAAAAGTAATATTGAAACATACTATTAAAAATTTCGATATGCCTTCATATATTTCTTATTAAAACTGGTTACCACACAGTATATTATTTAATATGAAATATTTCTTTCAGTTAGTTTAAACTAAATTATTTTTTAAACAAACTATTTGTTATTCCTTACTTGCAATAAATATTCATTTCGTTTCCTCAAAAGTTGTACTAGATACAAACAAACATTTTAATATTTAATACGTAATATGTTAAGATTATAACAATTACTACAATTTAAAAATTATAACTATACTACTAACAAACAATAAACAATTACATTCGAAATTTATAGTTTAATAATTTTTATAAATTTTGTTTCAAAATTATAATCGGAAAATATCGAGTAATGTTAAACTAAGTGTTTATTAAATTGTTTTTAATAAATGTCAGTATACGACGCAAAAAGCAGGTAACTTTAGGCAAAGTTTAAAAGGTAAAATTTATTATTACACTACTTAAGGAAATTTCATTTAATATAGGAAAAATACAATATAAAGTAGGAAGTCAAGTATAAACTTATCACGAATGTTTGATCGAAAGTGGCCAAACAAATTAAAAGATACTTTTTTAAATTATCAGTATACCTTTTATTATATATGTACATCTTTTCAGGTTTTCTAGCATAGATCGACGAAAACCTTTTCATTATATATAAATGTAGATTTATTTCGCATA